CTCCACATCGAGAGGAGCCAGTTGAAGTGGCTTGGGCATCTGTTTAGGATGCCTCCTGGACGCCTCCCTGGTGAGGTGTTCCGGACACGTCCCACCGGAAGGAGGCCCAGAGGAAGACCCAGGACACGCTGGAAGGACTATGTTTCTCGGTTGGCCTGGGAACGCCTCGGGATTCCCCCGGAAGTGATGGCCCAAGTGGCTGGGGAGAAGGAAGTCTGGACCTCCCTACTTAGGCTGTTACCACCGTGACCCAACCCTGGATAAGCGGAAGAAAATGGATGGATGGATGGATGGATGGATGGATGGATGGATGGATGGATGGATGGATGGATGGATGGATGGATGGATGGATGGATGGATGGATGGATGGATGGATGGATGGATGGATGGATGGATGGCAAAGTCTTAATTCCAGTCTTTAAACTGGACAATGTATCAGCCTCACGGACAGAAACTGGAAGTTGGCTCCACAAAAGAGGAGCCTGATAATTGAAAGATCTTCCTCCCAGTCTGCTCTTGGAAACTCTAGGAACAACAAGTAAACCTGCAGTCTGAGAGCAAAGTTCTATTTTAAGAAAATATGGAACCATAAGTTCTCAAATATAAATAATAATAATTAAAGTGCAATGTGATGTCATCATTGTAAGTTCCGATGAAATTGGTTCTCTGCATTTCACCCATGGAACCTGGGATACACCCAGGTGGAGCAGTGGGCAGCTATGTAAGCTGCCCAGGGAGCAATTTGGTATTGGGTGTCCTGCTCAGAGACACCACGAGATGTGCAATGACCGGGGATCGAACCCACGGCCTTTGGGTCCCATGTCGGCTGCCCTGCCCCTAAACCATCTCAACCCCATCCAATGCTGCTCCAATGTGCCGCCCTCAGCACAAAATATATTTGAACATTTATTGATTTAGTAAAAAAGAAAATCCATTCAGCTTTATCAATCAGATCCAGATGCAGTTTAGTGTCTCAGGTTCAGAGTGTGGTCCAAAGATTTAAAGTGTCCAATATTAAAGATTATTAATGATGATTGCTGAGTGACAGACTTCTGTACATTCAAATACTATATAGCCAAAAATAAAATGCCCAAGAAAAACAAAAACAGGAAAAAAAAAACATGGATCTAGGTTGTTGAGATCTTTGTAGGTTAGAAGTAAGATTTTGAATTCTATTCTGGATTTGACAGGGAGCCAATGGAGAGAAACTAAAACTGGAGAGAGATGATCTCTCCTACTAACTCCAGTTAAGACTCTGGCAGCAGCATTTTGGATTAACTGAAGACGTTTTAAAGAAGTATTTGGACACCCAGACTTTAAACCATTGCAATAGACGTGACAAATGCATGAACCAGTTTTTCTGCATCAACGATGAATGAAGTCATCAGTCTAAAATAAAAAAAATATACAAAAAATGTTGATGGCTTGCCAAATAATTCATGCAAAGGGCAATATTTGATTCCACTAAAACTTGTATGTTACTGACATTTTTTTTCATTAAAATAGCTACACAACTGTTCAATTAAAAACATTTTCTCAAAAGCACAGTTTAAACATGAAGACACCAAAGTCTGGACTGCAGACATGTCCTGGTCCATTCATTTATTCATTCTTTGGCTTTTGGTGGCAGACGTTGAACATGTGAGATGTGTTGATTAAATGATACGGACTCAGCGGTCATGTTGACAAGCTGTTTATAAACCTCTCCTTCATACAGCATTATGCAACAGAACCTTTCAAGTATCTAAAGTGATGCAGCAACTGCAGTAAAATATCAGCAATGATTCAGTTGTGGAGTTGTTTCCCATCACTGCTGCTCTTTTGCTGTTTATCCTCCTCTGTATTATGGAGTGACCTCAGCCCACTTCCACTGAAGATGAGCTACATAAATAGGCCGAAGGAATCGTTTAGCTCTCTTTCTTCTTGTGTACTTCACAGTAAACTTGCAGGCTTCACATCCCCCCACTGATGGAGACACATGCTTATGAGCACAAGAGGATACTAAGATGTTTAAAAGACGCTTCTGAAAGGTTTAAAATCTGAACATTTCCACATTTTTCCATTAGCATGGATGGTTCTGCAGTTCACAGCACATAGGAGCTGTAGGTTTTAGAGGTTTGATGAAGGAAATAAAAAAAACCTGTCTGGCTTTTTCCTTTTAAAGAAAAACAAAAACTTTAAAACATGATTAATATCAAAGAGAATTAAATGTCTAGCATTTTTTTAAATAATGCATATCACCTGCCAATTTATAGTTTAACTTTTTTTTCTTGTACACACAACTGCACTACAATACAGATGTGATTTACTACAAGATCTCTAATAAAATAATTAGCAGCTTTGTCCAAAAAAAATGGAGAGAAAAAAACAACTTAATATTAGATGTCAGATTTATAATTCATTTCTTCATTTGACTATAATTATCACTCTTCCTGCTGTTAAACATATTCAAAGCAGAGGATTGGTCAGCTGGATAACAGAATAATCATTATCGCTGACTAACATCTGTCACTAGTCATTATGAGTGACGTTAGCATAATTAGCATTGCTATAAGTAACAGCAGCCTCTGTGCCTTCCTCAGATCGAATCAATCCCAACTCAAAAAAGTGCTAACAAAAAAAAAATACTTTTAAAACAAACTTTCTCTTTGATTAACAGCAAAGATAATTAAATGTCTAGCATTAATTTAAGGAATGCATTTTGCCTGCCAACTTTCATGCTAGAGTTTTAAAGAAAAAAAGACAAACATATAGGTATTTTGGTACAACCTTGTAAATTATGTTATTTGCAATCTATCATTTATAGACGTACTGTACATCCAATGATTAATCGCTGAAAAATTTATTAAAATGTGTCCAGTGGTTCATGAAAAATGTTGCTAACAGACAGAATTGAACTGACTACCAGAGTAATGGTGAAATTTTAAATAATATATCTCAAATGATCAGTTTGTGCTTGGATTATGTGTCGCAGGGCAGAACCTTCAGGGCATTCAGAGAATGTGACAGCCGAGGGTCCAGGTCTCACAGTCACGATTCACAAGTGGTGCTGGGAATGATTCTAACTACCACACCAAGTTTTAGCTTGAAATCTGTAAAACTGGCTGTGTTATATATATTCTTGGTGGCCATCTTGAAAAAGGTTGACTCCCGAAGTTAATCTGTTGTAGCTGTTTATGCAACAATTACTTTTTGAAAGATTCATTGAAATCTGTCCAGTGGTTCATGCTATACACTGGTACTCCGCGGCTTGATTTTCACATACTCACTGTTTTGCGGGTTTTCAACGTAAGATTGTACACAACACACGAATGACTGATTGATGGAAGGTGACCAATTGTGATGAGGGGCGAACTGACCATCGGGAGCACCAGGACATTTCCTGGTGGCCTGGCCCACTCAGAGATTGCTGAGGGGCTCCATCCTTTCTCTTTCTGAGGCTGTCTATCACAGCAGAGCAGAGACACACAACAAGTGGGCACGCAACATGTTGTGTGTCTTTGCTCTGCTGTGATAGACAGCCTCAGAAAGAGAAAGGAGGGGGTGGGGTCTGTCTTTCCCCATCGCTGCTGTGGGAACTTTAGTGAGATGGATACCTGACTGAGCGGCATGGATTATTTAGTTAAAATAATCAAGCACATCCCGAACCAAGCCTTTGGTCCAGCCCAAAGTGGGCCAGGCCACCGGGAAATGTCCCAGTGCTCCCAATGGCCCAGCCCAAAGTGGGCAAGGCCACCGGGAAATGTCCCAGTGCTCCCAATGGCCAGTGCACCCTGGCAAATGGCTTAGTAACCATAACATCAGTCTGTCTGCTCTTTGGCTGTGCTCTTTTAGAGTTTAGAGAGTTTAGAACATTCTTAAGAACATTGCAAGAGTGTGGGAAGGGTTTATAAAGTCTTAAAATATATACAAATACTAAAATAAAAAAAACATCCCTACTTTGCAGATTTTCACCTATCGCTGGGGTGTCTGGGACATAACCACCGCAATAAGAGAGGGACTACTGTATTCAGTTTTTTTTTGTTTTTTTTCTACAGACAAGCACACTGACGGGCAAAAACATCATGATCGCCTCAGTTTTGGTGGCATGTGACCAAAAAAAACCCCCAAAAAACAGCACTACAGCTTTCTGCAACTAGAATCATGAATATCATCTGCACAACACATTCCTTGTTTTTATTCGTCTGTTGAATCGTAAGAGCTTTTCAGTTTTCTACACAATCTTGAAGAAAAAGTCTGCCTGAAAACCAATACCAAAATGCAAAGAAATGAAAATCCTAGAGCACTTAATGTCAGCTTCTGTAAGAATCCTGAAAACACGCTGAGTAAACAGTTGTTTGCCTGTTCAATGACTAAAGCAAACACGCGGAGATCTTTTGTGTTTGACGTTCTGGTTGTTCTCTCCACCTCCGTCTGCTGTGAAGTGTTTAAATAAAGGACGGAGCTGACCCACGCGTCACTGAAGTCAGCATAGCATCGTTCGAGAAAAATGCAGAGGATTTTACTAAGGACGACCCAGCTGATGGGTCACTTTGCTTTGGAATCAAAACATGTGTCATTTACACGAGACAGCTCCGGCTTTTATTTCTGAAATTGGTAATCTTACATTAAGTGCCTTCTAAGACCGTCAGCAGGGTACACAAACTGAAGTCAAAGCGCTGTGTTTCAAGACTGGATGCTCTCCACATAAAATCAGCTTCTCACACGTGAAATCTCACAGAGAATCTTAATACGCGTTTTCTTTTTATCGGTTCGACACGTAGATCTTTCAGGAAAAGATCTGACGCCAAACACCACTCTCACACCACCCGCCTGGCTCGCCTGACACCTTCCCTGACAAGAATAAACAGTCTCTGTCATGTGTACATTAAAGTTGACCTTTCCGTCAGAAGTGATCACTGAAGCTTTCGCTTCCTCACATCCCCCACCTGCCCCCCCTCCCCCAAGCCTTCAAACGCAGCCTTCATGGTGTGTGGCTTTCAGGGTCGCCTCTTTCTTACCTCGTCCTGAAGTTAGCCGGGTGTGGATGCCCGTCGTACAAAGATAAAAAGTCATATTCCTCCTCCACAGCGAACGATTGAAAAACTATATGAATCCTGTTCCCCTCCTCAGCAACAATCACCCAGGTACAGTTCGCTCCATTTGGATATCCGTAAGGAAACCCGGGGCTTTCTATTGTCCCGTTCCTCCCTTTTAATGTGCCTCCACACGTGTGGATAAAACCTGGAAGAAAAGAAAGAAAACATCCAGTTACTCAGCTGTTCAGTGTCAATACCTCTGCATCACTCGGTCTATTTTAGTCGTTCAAGCATCAAAACGTTCAGCTCATTCAGGAGATACAAGTTTTGACTTTTGGTATATGTAACTTTTATACTTTTCAAAACTTTAACTTTATTTACAAATGGTTTCCTCAGTACTTAAAAATGTCTTTGATTTCTTCAAATTAGTGGGTTTTTTTTTTTTACTGCTTCAGCATACTTGTACTTGTTTAGAGCCTTTTGCCATTTCAGCTTTTAAGTATCCTTTTGTTAATTTTAGCTTTTAGCTTTTGGCTACAGTTCTGAAACCTTTAGCATTTAGCTAGTCATCTGCTGAACTTTGGTTAGCCTTTTGCTACTTTTAACTTTTAGCTAACCTTTTGTTACTTCAAAGTTCATGCTCAATAATTCAGGTAGAAAATCCAACAAAGTTCAGCCAAGTTATCTGGATGTTTTTTTTGTTGTTGTTGCAATGTTTCGTCCTTCATCCAAAGAACTTCATCAATCTGATGAGCCACGATAAACTGAGTCCCACAAGCAGCACACTCACATAGTGGACCAACCAGTTTGCTGGTGGTAAGATGGTTGCTGGGGCCTAACCTCTCCCTTGTCCTGGGAACCATCTTATCACCAGCAAACTGGTTGATCCACTATGTGGGTGAGCTGCTTGTGGGACTTAGTTTATCGTGGCTCGTCAGATTGATGAAGTCCTTTGGATGAAGGACGAAATGTCTCAATAAAAAAGAAACCATCCAGATGGCCTTTCTGAATTTTGTTTTTTTTTGTTACTTCTGGTTTTAAACCATCATATTTGCCATTTTTGACTTTGAACTAGCATTTTCCTTCCTTTGGCTATAAGCTGTTGTTTTGCTTGTTTATAGATTTGACAACTCAGGTTCAACTTCAACAAATTTAGTTATTCAGCTATGAACATTCACACTTTGTCATTTTTGGCAGAAAACATATTTTCTCAAGTTAATTAAAGCATGTTCATGTTTTTTGTGACACACATGCAAAAACACTCTAATCGAGATGTTTATTGTAGGTTTGACAGAAAGCATGCACAATTTAAATAAGCTTTGCTGCTGTAAACATCAGAGCAGCAATAAATGAAGTGACTGTGAATGTGAAACATTCAGGTGCAGATAAGATTTTACTGTAACAACTGCACAACGCCTGTAAAGGTTTGGTGTAACAGTTCTTCAGCTGTGAGCAAATTGTTTGGAAAATCCATTTTGCTTTCAGCTGGTGGAAGCTGTGAAGAAAATCTGGCAACCAGCTGACAACAAGCCAAGTTTTGTGTTTTCACATACGTTTTCTGTTTCCTTCAGATGAAAAAGAAACGAGACAAAACACCTGCTGCTGAAATAACGAGAGAAAAATGCATAATTGTTGACATATTTCTTGATTTTTTAATTCAACAGAGTCACTTAACTGCCCAAAATTACTGAAGTGAAGTTTTAAATGTGGGAAATTATTCAGTATTTTGGATGGACAGGTGAAAACACCAGAGGAGAGCAGCACGGCTGAAGGCTCTCAAACCCATTGTGAAGAGGTTGGCAGATGGATGGGAGAGCTGGGAAGAAGAGAAGGATCAGACAGTCCAGGAGAGTAAAGCTGGTGCATTTCTGAGATGTGGGGGAGCAAAGTTATGGAAGTGAAGAGGAGAATCAGAAATTAAATGTGATAGGACAGAGCAGAAAGCCAGTGGAGCCATTTGAGAATTGGGGTTGTGTGTTCGGTTGTTGGAGCTCTGGTAACAGAATTATGGACCAACTGAAGTTTATGGATTTATCTGTGTGGCAGCCCAGAGAGAGGACAATTACAGTAATCAGTGTAAGAAAGAACAAGCGCATGGATGAGAGTGGCTCGACTGTGGGCAACTTCTGAAAATAGGCTGATGGTGTGTAGATGAAAATAAGAAGAATGAGGGAGGAGACTGAAGAAAAGAAGAAAACAAAATATAAAACATTGAGGATGACACCTAGACTTTTAACATTAGAGGAAAAAAACTCCCTCCCTCCCTAGCTACTTAACTACCTAACTGCCTACGTACATACTTGCCTACATGCCTACCTATCTAGCTACCTACCTAACTACCTACTTACCTACCTACCTATGTACGTACCTGCCTACCTACCTTCCTACATACCTACCTACATATCTACCTACTTACCTACTTACCTACATACCTACCTACATACCTACCTAACTACCTACTTACCTACTTACCTACATACCTACCTAACTACCTACTTACCTA